AATTGGTTTCCTTTCTCAGCCATTAGTAACCTCAGCAATATGCAATATAACATTTTCCTACTCACTTTAAAATGCTAAATTTGTCCTCCTGATTTTGTGAGAGCCTCTGTAGTTTGTGATTGGGTACAGCCAGAATCTAAGACGCTCACTTACTCCCAAACAGCTCTGAGGGCTTAAGAGAAGATCTAATTTACTCATTTTCCTCAGATTGTCCTATAAATCAGGTTAGTTGGCTACTTTCAGTTTCAAAAGAATGGTGAGGCACTGAAACAGGTTGCTCAGAGAAACTTCGAATATCCCATACGTGGAGGTGCTCAATGCCAGGTTGGATTGAGCCTGTTTTCAGATGCAAACTATTGGATGAACCCTGGACAGCCATATCTAGTTGGGTGGCAGTTCTGTGCACCACAGGGGTCTCTTACAACCCATGCCATTCTATGATGTTATGATGCAAGATGAAGTTGAAAAAGGCAAACAAAGAAAAGACTTGAGCAGCACTTTACTGAAGAAGTTATATACAGTTTAAGGTCACTTAAACATACACAAATTTTCATTATAAGAATAAAAATTATCACAAGTTGAATGTTTAAAGTTGATATCAGATCTCTTTACATGTTGTATATTACTGAGTTTAAAAGTGAGCTTAAACTGGATAGGTCCACTTCCGCCTATAGGCTTTTTTCCCTTTCCTTCTAACAAAACACTGAGTGGACATTTTTGTTTCCAGCATGAAGATGTAAAGAACCAAATGACCTAAAAAAAAAAAAAAAAAAAAAAAAAAATTTAAATCCTGCTTTTTAAAAAGCTCTTGAAAATACCTGGAAAGGATTTTCTGATATAAGATAACAAATAGTTATGTTATATTTGTAATAATTCATGATCTTTTTGTAGTAAAAACATGACCTACTTTCAAAAGCTATTTCGTAATATTGTAGAAGCACAAAATGAATCACAGGCATCTGACACATTTTTTTCAGATAAAGCATTCCAACAGTTAAGATACAAAACAATTTTTGTTCAAAACACTGCTCAGTGTCACTTTGGAAACTGGTGAATTTCCCACCCACATGAGAATGCTCAAGAATTTTATGTTTTCTCTGGGTCAGAGCCTATTACTTTGGCTTGTGGGCTTGCTCCACTACTCCAATTCAATCGGATAAGAATTAACAGAATTCTGCTGTACAGAGTTGCACTCAGTTTCATTAGAATAGTTTTAGAAGCCATTAGGTCTTTAAAGAATTTTCTTTAAGGCGATTACTTCTTGGACACTTATATGTAATTTGTCTCAGTTTTCTTTAACCATTGTAGCATACTTACACTAATAATCTTTTGTCTTTCAGTAGTTCAAGCGTTGGTGGTATTTAATGCTGTCATATTATTTTACGATGATTCCAACTCCACTAATATGAAGGAAATGTACTTAAGAGATAATTTATATCATTACAAAAGCCACAGTTCCACAGCTACAAGAGCAACATAAAATCCAAGAAGTATCACATAGTACATGGTACTGGTCACAGATTCATAGAGAAGCATGAATCTCTTTATCCTCCCATTGCCCACAGAGGTAGGCACCGCAAAAGAGGTAAAAATTAACTGCATTCATAGTGACTACTAAGTGTGGCTCCTCTACAAAATTTCTTTTGAATTTTTTACTCCAGACAGAAGTTACCATGATTTTGCCAAAAAGTATACCTACAAAATTTATGGAGAGACATTCAAGTAAACTGTAAAGTTAAAAAGCATTGAAGTAAAAACAATAAGAGCTTTCTGGGCACTTTTTCCTTGGTACTCCTCCAGTAATGCGATTGACATTAAATATGGGAATTGGCATGAAACTTCTCTCATTTAACCTAATGTAAATCAGACCTAGAAGCAGCATGAGCGCAGAAAATCAGGCTGTTCAGGGAGGATCATTTTCACAATAAATCAGCCAATGATATATCACCACAGACTAAAAATGGAACAGGAATAAAAGTGTACTTAGCTTAGAAACCTGCTTTTCCAAATAAACATGGAATATGGTTTTTATCATGCCTTAACAGGAAATGAATTCCTAGATAGCATTTCATTTTCTAAATGTTAATATACCTCTATGTCATGTCAGTAAAATAAGGAACAAATTGACTTGCACAATCCTGTTAATACCTTGTGAAAAAAATCCACAGGAAAGTGTTTTTTTTTTTTTTTTTTTTTTTTTTTTTTTTTTAACAACTTGGAAAACTGAAGACTGAGCTCAAACCCTCCAAAATGGTTTGTACAGCAGGAATGGCCTATAATAACCATAGAAATGTTTAGAAACTAGTTTGTACACTTCTTTATTATATACAAGCTCACCCAAAATAACTGTAACTGCAATAAAGATCTGTCTAGAAAAATGTAGGAAAAACTTTAACATTAAAGCAACCATTGCAAATAAATGAGATTTGTTTAGCTTGCAACTACAATTGTAGCTTATTGAGTTAAAGCAGAAGATTCAAAGCTGAGAAAGAAAGTGAAGTGCAACAGCAAGGAACAGGCAATCATTACAGAGAGACTCTATGCACATGAACTACAAATCAATCTATGCTAGGAAAACAAAACAAAATAAAATTGATGATTTCAATTTCAGTGTTATCCAAGTTTGTTTTCTGCATTTTGCTACAGCAGAGTTTAATATAAATGCAAATGACGTATTTATCTCTGCTTTCCAAGGTACTTTCCTTAGAACAGCTGCTTCCAGATGCAGTTTTCGCTTAGAACTCCACCATACAATAATAATTACCTTTAGGTCTACTGACACCTACTTAAGAAATGGATCACACTTATGGGAGTGAATAGTACTGAATAATCAGACCCCAAGTAACGAAGACATAAGTAACATCAGCTTGCACATCTATGTAAATAGTTCACAGGCAGAGAAGATTCTTCCTCCTAGAGCAGACAGATCTCATGTTCCTCTCTGAAGTAGCCCTTGTGTTGTGTCCTGTGTTGCACCAACATGAAGCCTTGGAACAGAAAGTTCATGCTTGCACAACACTTTTTAAGTTTATGTTCTAAGTACAGACAAACTTTTAGTGATTGTCAGAAAGACTAAGCAACCTGAAAAGCCTGTACTCGCAGCACACTGTAATCTTTCTCTTGACATCAGAGTGTTCAGGGGGGTTTGTTTGCAACTGGATGAAAATAAACCAAACACTGAAAAACTTCACTATACACTTCAGAGCACATGCTCATTTATATAGTTAATTAAGCCTGAACATTAATGTGAGGTTTGTGTTTCCCTTGGAATGCTGCTAAATACTTCATTCAAGTGTACCACTTAGTGATTTGCAACGGATATTTTAAAAACAAAGTAAAAGCAACATTAAATTCAAAATACAATATTTTAGGCTGTACAAATACAGCAAGATGAATTAAAATCTGCACAGGTCGTTTATCCTGATAGAATGTTGCCCTTAATCACCATATATACTCACCAATGAAAATTCAAAGGAAAAGGGTTAACTAAAATTTATTCTGTAAAAAGTAGCAGAAGACAAGTTTTTTTTAATTCTCAGTGTACTTTGGAACATGAAAATTTCTTATGTTTTGCATATACTAAAGGAATAATGGTTATTAGTGTGGAATTATTAACGTGGATCACAATTTCTAGTTTCTTCAGCCAACAGATTAGTCAACCAACAGAATAATAAATGTTATGGTTTAAATAATTCCAAGATCCACACCCCTTGTTGCCAAATTCGTTGACAGTACCTTCAGTTTGCCCTTACCAGCTACTTTACAGTATTCATTTTCTGATGAATTTATATCTCAGGTCTACATGAAGCCAATATTTAATGTGAAAAAATGGCCTTAGTTCAAAGCATACTGCACACAAACGAAAGTGACAGACATGTTAATTTTTTCTCCAATTTTTGTAGAATTATCTGGAACATTTAAAGTTATGGAGAGATATGCCTATTTCAATTAATGACACTAGCATCCTATGGAAATAATTTTATCTTCAGTATACTTTGTAATAAAGTACATTCAAAAAAATTCAGAAATGTAATTTTTTTTAAAATATAAATAATCTAGAGGAGTTAGGCTTCTAGCAGTAAGATTATTTACACTGGAGACTGCTTTACAAAATGGTTTTAGGAAACAGCACAATGAGGCCTGTTAACCCTATCTGCTACATACAGTTACTAAACTCGTCAGAATTACTTTTGAAATTTGGCTCTTGGTTCTCAGTGGTGGTAGATGATCCATACATTCTTACATCATCTGAGATACAGCTTTTCAAATAATGACAAACTAGACATCTTTGCCTAGCATCAGCAAATTGTAATACCCAAAGAAAAAAAAAAAAAAAAATCACACTCCATTGAATTATTATAATGTCACTTAGCTAGGAACACTTATTTTCCACTCTTTTTTCTTATGCCTATCCAATATTTTCTGATGGAATTGAGGATTATATTCATTAGAAAAGAGAAATACTGAGAAAACCATTTCCTAACAATTACATGCAATATGAACAGCTGCAAATAGTTCTCATGACACTAACTTTTAAAACATCAGTGATTGAAAACTTCTAAAGATTTACCAGCTTACTCTATTCTAGATATATTTGAGTGATTTTTAAAAAGATTTTCAATATTGAAGTATACTTCCCATATTTGTGGAAAGTATACTTCACAAACTGCTAAATTAAAAATAAAAGCATCTAGTAAATTGCCACTTTGAAAATTTAAAAATGTACCTTGTTACGGTAAGCAAGTATCCTATATTTGGGGAAAAAAAATGCAAAAAGATATGTTTAAAAGAGTGTTAGTATTAATATTACTTGGTGTTAGTAAAAAAGAAAGAAGAGAAAGCTAAATCTAATTTAGCTGGTTTTCAGAGGCTGTTTTCTGACCTTCAATACTTTTTACTGAGTATTTCAGATTGTTTTCCTCTCCACTATCAGCATGATAGTAACCCGAAAGAGAAATACAAGAATTAATAATTAAGTCCACAAACTTAAGACCCCTTACCCTCTGGACTTTTTAAGGCTCCTCTTGCTTCGCAGTGTTACAGAGACATGCATAAACAACAGAATTTCCTGCATCCTTTTCTCATCTGCACAGTATTGGGATTCGGCCAACAGTATTATTTACAACCTTAAGGCTACTCCATACTAACTTGAAAATGACTCCCATTGGCCAGGCTTTATCAAAACTAAAATCAAAATATTTTTCTTTTATGAAGTAGTCATTTATCCAACAAATTGTTATGCCATATAGCCCTTTGCTCAGTATCCCTTTCTTCAATTTTTATTCCTTCGTAGCTTTCAAAACTGAAGACTATGACCCCTGCCTCCTAAATATTATGCACAAGCTAAAATTAATTGTTCTAATCCCAGTAATTAAGCACATGCACAAGACTTAACCATACTTTGTGGATTCTTATGCTATCCCTCAATCCTATACAGATCTCCTGAGTTTTAAACAACTGATGGTATTTCCCTCTGGATGACTATCATCTAGCTAGCGCATGTATTTTCATAATTAACTATGCAATTGATCAGACATTATGCAAATTTCTAATTTAGATTGTCATTGTATAAGAACACAGCAAGGAAAAATTGAAAAAATTAAAAGCTCATTTCTGAAAAATGAAATAGTTTTCATTAATGTTGAGGGTTGTATTAATACAAAAGATAAGAAGCGCTTCTTCAAATAAGCGCACAAATTTTTTGCAGTTGACATGTAACAATGCATGATGCCTCTGGTGTTCTGAAATTGATACTACAGGCCAACTACATGGCAGGTCCTAGAGGTATTAAACTGAATCATCTCACATAGCTCACACTATATTTGCCGTAGCTTTGGAAAGCTTAATATTCTCAGTTACAAAAATCTTATTATATTCTTTGCCAGGATTTCAGACTGAGAAGCCAGAGTTCCTTACACATAGCTTTAAAGGAACAAAAGTCTACTCCCCTATTAATATTTCAGCATCTATTAATAGCAATAAAGCAGTCTTTTCATCAAGAGTCGCAGCTATAGCCACAAGACTTCACTTAAGAGCATTCTCTGACAGTACATATATTTTGAAGAAATGAACATACCTGTCCTCCCACTCCCATCAACAACGCAGGCATAATATGGCACCCACAATGCAAAAACTCTACTGCACTGAGTGCAGACAAAGGGCACTCAGTTAACAAAAATAAAGCGGGGGGGAAATTAGATATTCCTATGAATATAAAAAAAGTTTAAAACATGTATCAAATTAAAAAAAGTTAAAGTAACTGTTGTCTTATTGTATCTTCAATAGCTCTTCCTGCAGCTGCATCTCATATCCCACTGGAATATTCTCCAATAGCTTCACCCATCCAGTCCTCAAGTACAAATTAATTCCATTTTTTTCACCCATAGTAAATAAAACCTCAAAAATTACCTATAAAATAATTTTCACTAGGAAGCGTTATTGTATATACTCAATAGTCAAATAGCAGCGACTTCCGCAAGATCTTCAAACACTGTAAATGCAATTATTGAGCTTAAAATTTTTATTTATGTATTTTTTTAGAGGATATAAAACATAACAGTATCACTTTGGCATTACCATTCTCACTAATGGGAACAATTTGTGCCTTCAACATTTTGAGTTACAAAATTTGGCAATATTGAAAGTGTTATGTTACTAATAAAAAGAGTATTTTCATTTACGTTTCAGATGGTCTGGATTTCATCTCCATCCATTTCAGTAAAGGAACTCTCTTAATTATATCTTTAAACCAGCAGATTATAAAAAACACACAAACAATTTTGTGTGTTTCTGATTTTTTCTTATAGTCCAAAGACAAGATGAACATTGGCTGCATTCAGATGGTGAAACTTTCTTACAGCAGTGCTCATAGGCTTACAACAATTAAAGAGGACGTAAAAAGTATGAATATATTTAAGACCTTGAGCCATGCTCTTGTGATGACTTTAAGTCAATTACCCCTACTCAAGATTAAATCAAAATTCAAATCACAGTGTGGTTTTTGTTTGCTGTTGTTTTGGAAGTGATCAATGTACTATTTTTCTCATTTTTAATATGCAGTAACTGCAGGAATACAATCATTTCATCTTACTGTAAAGTATTATGAAAAATATACTTTTGGATAATTCAACAACAAACTTTAGTTTACAACACTTTTATCAGTTAGCAGACCAATTAGAACTACAGGAAGATCCATATTTGCAAGCTTTTTCTCTATTGTTTGGTGTTTGTTTTTTTTTTTTTCCTCCAACCTGACATGGTTGCAAAAAAAAAAAAAAAAAAAGTCACCATAGTTTCAAAGTAAATATTATTAATCATCTAAGACTATCAATACAGAATGCAAATGAGACACTGCCATGAAGTTATATACAAACTACTCCCAAAATTATGGAGAAGTATAGAAAAATAACTTGGTCTGGGCAGAGTGTCAGGGAAATGTCTTGAGTTAAATTGTAATAAAAAAATTACTTTTCAATTACTGTAGAAGGAACAGCATACGTGGATATACTCAATTATAATCTACAAGCATTATACCATTCTATATCCAATAATTGGTTATGGGGAAAAAAAAAAAAGGGTTGACATTAGTCTAAAGACAACAATATTTAAAATAGAATTAAATTGCTCTCTCGTTAAAGTACTTTGTCCAGTCTATGTTTCTTTATGTGTAGTCTCAAACCGATCTCTATTTAACTGCCAGTAGTAGTCTGAAATGATAAACACCCACTGCAAAACCGAGCGTTAAGATCATCGCAAGTCTCTTCCATCTAAGATAGTTCTAAAGAAATTTTGTTTAAAAAAATCATTAGCATAATCCTTCACTAAGGAGAAGCCCCTTGGTAAGTTGATCCATTCTAACTGCATACAACTGCCCAAAAGGTTAACACATACTGAATTGACTGCAGTTGTGTTAACCTGATATCTACATTCAGCTCCAGGAAAGTTACTAGTATTACCACTATAGAATTTTACTTTGATAACTATATTCACTGGTGGGGGGGGGGGGGAGACAATTGGAGATATGAATGAGTATATTGAGTCCAGTATTTTCCATATTAATGAGTCTGCTTTTTCAGCAATGTTAGTTTTCTGATCTTTTTACTGAAAAGGAAAAAGACATTTCTTACTACTTGCACTTTGGGCTTAACATGTGCTTTTGTCATTTTCAAAAGACCGAAGTGTATAACAAAAATATCTACTCTCTCAACACTTTCACATTTTAACTTCATGTTCTTCAGTAGCAAACTGCTCAGTAGAATTACTCCAAATAAATTTTCTATCAGTAAATTACTTTGCTTAATCTTATTCTTTTTCTAGTGTTAGCATTTTGTCATTCTAACATGCATGGCAAAAATGGAAAGATGCATTTTCTCAACATCCAGGCCCCTATCACTGATAAGCCAAACATACACTAACATTCTGTACCGTTTAACTTGATCCAAGCTGAATGCACAGATTTCTCCAAAACTAAAAGACAGTAATGTAAGAAAGTGGCAGAATAAAAGCTGTTATGTATCAACTTCTAGTTACATAACTAAGACAAAATGTGAGAAGCTATAAGGTAATTTTCTAAAATCTAAAATATTACTGACAATCCCTTAACTATTGGGATAGTTAAAAGTGAGAACAACATAAAGAGTATTAAGGGAAGCTAAAAAAAAAAAATTAATGTAAGCATCTCAAGTAAGGTTCCCTTCACATTTATAAAAGCATATTCTTTTGTATTCTAAAAATTTATATTTTACTTACTGCGCAAGTGTCCACTCAAAAAAAGTATTCTTGGCAAATCTTCTCCACTTTTTATGCTAAATCTCTTCTCCTTGCTTAAGGAAAGTCATTGCTAGAGTTGAGAGATATCACTTTCTAAGCCTGAAGAAGTCCATTTCACATCCCACCAGGCTTCTTCCATAAATTATCTACAGGAATAGAACTTCAGCAATTGCTGAAAACTATGATGTTGTGAATTAAAACTATTCTTCAAAAACAGTTTTGCAGTGAGAAAAAAAAAATACGCAAGCAAATTCTGATACCAGAATTAGAAACTGAAACCACCAGTAAACTAATTTAATAACTTCTGCATTCTTAAATTATTGTTTTGTGAGGTATTTTTTCCCTTTTTTTTTTTTTTCCTCCCAGATGGGTGGGACTACCACTACTCTGTCCCAGTAGTAAGCCTTAAATCTTGTAGGGACCTTAAGAGCTGAGTTGTTCAGCTTATTTACAAGCAGACTAAAAAAAAAAAAAAAAAGCTTGTCTAGTATCTAAGGTGGTGATCTGCCTTCACTTGTCAGAATGCATCCTTATGACTGCATTAGCCAAGAATTAATCAAGTATAAGCTCCTAACACAAGTTTGAAATTTTCTAAATAACAATCTTGAAAAAAAATTGAAATAAATTAATTGCAGTAAGTTTTAAAAAAAGCACCTTAGGGCTCAATTACTTTTTTCTTCTCTTCTCTCTCCATGCTCCAAGAAAGTAATGAAAGGAGTGAAAGTCAAATAAATGAAGTTTAATTTTATTTTATTTTTTACCTGTGTCAAGGTTTGGCCTCGTTTGGCTGGTTCTGTGACCAAGGGAACAAAGGGACCCATGCCCTAGAAATGTGAAAACGTAAGGAAATGGGCCTAGGAGGAAAACAGTAGCAACATGCTAAGAAACAAATTTACTAAATCTAATAGTGAAATAGGAGATAATACAATATAATACAATTGAAATTGAAGCTAATAAATAAAATGGGAGAGTTTCCAAAACTGAAATCCTTACTCTAATGTTGTAGGCAAGATGAGTAGGGAAAATGGAGAACAAAAAAGCCAGTCTCAGTTTTATCTTTCCCTCCAAATGGAAAATGGAAATGGAAAAAAAAAAATAAGGTCTTCTGGGAGTTGTAGCTCATTCATTCTCTTCTGAAACAGAGACCGGAAATACTGACATTCGAAGGAAATGCAGCATTAACTCTTTAATCCCCAGTGCACTGCATGATGCTATGATGTGGAATACAAAAACCATAAAATCATGACAAACTCTTTGGTAATGTTATGTATTACATAACCTATTGTAGCAGCTATTTATC